CTAAAATACACCGTAAAACTAAAAGAATTTACTGAAAACTTTATCGTCATAAACAGAGATCATAACAAAATTTCAGAGGTTTAGAGTTGTAGAATAATTATCAAAAACAATAAAACTGCGCTTGCCCTAACGGTCAGACATATTGATGTTCATTCATCACTAAGCAATACAATACTTACAAATATCGTGACAGGCTTGCAGATGTGAAAAAAGTTGTTGTTTACTGCACAATGTGACAACAATGTTCTGCTCCACGACCCGCCATGTGTGTTGGACGGTTTCCATACAAATTGTTCTTGGCATAAATGTATCATCATAGTAATTGGAAATTTTTTTGTGCCTTAACACTTTTTATCAGTAAAATTGGTTGAGCATGGTGATTTATATTTTATTTTACTAAAATGAAGTTCGTTTTGTCACTGATAAAAAAAATATATGTTTATTTTCACAAGACTCTCGGTAAATGTCGGGCTATTTCTTAATGGTATACAAAATACCCCTACACCGTGTCTGCAGCATTCTCTCGCGCGAACTTCCGAGAAGTGGTACAAATAAGTGATCTTCGATCAATTAGCACACAGTGTATGAAGGACACACCACCTGTCAACTCAGCTTTGAACATTTATTTATCATAAAATGTTCGCTAAAATATACTTTCTTTTTGTAAAAAAAACATAAGTCCTTATTCATCACAAATTATCATTTTCAAGAATAAAATGACAAACCGCATTTTCATCGTATGGTACGAAATTACTTTACACCGTCTTGTAAGCATCTTCTCGCGAGAATTCACCGAGAAGCGCAATATAGGAGTTCAAGGAGCGGCAATGTTTAGATATATAGTGAAAATGTAACGCAATGCCCAACGGATGCCCATCATGGACGCTTATTCTTCACTTAAAGCATGTTCTCTTTCCCAAAAAAGCTTGGTCTAGCTAGGCCTACAGTCAAGGGAATGTTGGAAGAAGTATAGATATCCTGGCAAGTGGGGTAAGTGGCGAGTGGTTCTTTGTAATACTTAATACGATGAAACATTAGAACACAAATACTGCTATATTTAGTGCAGATGTTATGTTGTATATTTCAATATTTATTAATTTTTTTAAACAGAAGAAATGAATTGAATATGTGTAAAATACTTTTTGGCATACAGTCAAGTCCATGAAGATCATACACAGTTAAATATTTCCCAGTTTTGCATGTTAAACTTTAGTTAGTGGAAGACTATATAAACAGATATTAAGTATCAGTTAATGTTAAATTTACATTGATGTTTTGACATGGTGTATTTTTTGGAATTATACTCTTTAATGAAGCCTGCATTGTATTGTTACAGCTTCTAGTAAGAACCCTGAAGCCTGGCAAGGATCATGAGACTGGAAACTACCATGAGACCACTAAGTGAAGAAGGAAGCATCAGGTATTTTTTCATTTTGTTGAAATTTTCATTTGTAAACTTTAAAGTGTATGGAACATTTCAATCTGTGTATCTAGTGGGGGAAACTGAGGCAGATGTCATAGAACTCATTAGATTTATTCGCAAAATTTAACGCTGAAAAACGCTAAAAAAAAATCAGCAAGAAATATCAACTGTCATTAAAATTTATTTCATGATTACAAAAGTAAAGTACAAATATATACATGTCTTATAAAAATTTCATTGGTAACTTTGCAGACTGTTTAACTCAAACTAAGGGAATAAGAAACAAATGACAACAAGGAGAATAATGCCAAGAAAGGTAAGCTGTTCAAATAATGTACGAGTTTAAGAATTTCTGTCTCCCTGGCATTAAGTGGTCCCTAATAAACATGGATTCCTAACAATTTAAATAATATTTTCTTGGTATCAGTCATTGACTTAAGAATAAATTCATGTAAAAATACATATTTACATGTCTTCACAATCTTTCAAACAAGACCCAATTTATGAACAAATCACAAAATTTAAATTTTAAATGGTTCATTTGGGTTTCAACACTTACTTGACATAACTTGGTCCTGTTGTCAAATAATTTACAATTTTCTTGAGAGGCAGAAATTGCATCATGTTATGAGGTAGTGAAGGCCAGCATCATGCTGATGTTTGTTTAAGTGTATGTGCCAGTGTGAATAAAATAAATCTTTTGAGAAAAATGGTCTATCTCACTTAGGCTAATACACATTTTGATGGACTGGTAGAATCTGAAAGCTTGGTAGCCTCTTTGGCTTCTTAATTTTACAAGTTTAATTTTAATCCCTTAAAAATACATGTAATTACATATTCAGACTAAACAATGGAATACATTAAGTAAAATTTTATTACAGCGCAGACAAGTGAAAAGTCGAGTGAAGAAAATGCTCACAAGGCTTCAAGAACAGCAACTAAGGCCACTGAAGATGAGGAAGAAAATGTACAGCTAAAGAAGATACGTTACGGATCAACTAAAGCTGGGTGACTTTAATCGGATTGATGAGGTGCAGGGGATATTAATTTGGGTCTGTTTATCTTTCTGTTCATCAATCTGTCTGTCTGTAACACTTAGTTTTCTTAATATTTCTAGAAAACCTTCAGATATTGCAATGAAATTTTATATCATAACTCCTTTTGACTTATCCCACTGCGGGACATGACTTATTGTCAATACAAATTTAATATTGTTTATAAATTAAACATTACCCCTATAGATTTTGAAGTGAAATAATCAAGGCTTCTTTTTTTTTTTTTTTTTTGTTATGAATTGTTTCTGTTTGGTATCTGAAACTCTTTTCAGTACAGAATTCTTTCAGCAGTGAAGAGCCCCCTCCCCCCCTCCCCTAAGTTGATTTTAAATATTTTTTATTATTATTTGTCATTGTATACAGTGATTTTTTTTGTTTTTTATACCACTGCCCCCTCCTTTTGAATTGGGAAAAATTAGCGACATTTTCCTCAAATTGGGAAAAATCATTTATAGTAAATTTAAGAACGCCAAAAATTATATAAAATAATCAAACATAAGTAACAACAACAGTTTTTGTGTGATTTTAACTTTAAATTTGCTTTAAATTCATAAAATAATCATTTTAAAAAAATTAACATGAATATTTTATTGAATGCGAACATGGCTTAAATATTAGTCACACCTTGTATCTATTTTCTTGGAATTGCTTTGTCTAATTTCATAAAAAAAAAATAACCAGCATTTAGGCTCATAATTTAGTAAACTGTCTTATATTGGTAATCAAGTTTACAGTCTTTACTGTTTGTTCCTGATTTTAGTGAAACCCTGTACTGTTGACCATTTCCTGATATTAGTCTGACCCTCTATGTAATAATGGCGGTCAAACCAAAATCATTATGTCAACATGCAACATGACTTGTATCTGGGAACTATTTACCAATTCATTTAGGATATTATAAGCTACTTATCTACTTGTATGGATATCTGCATTGTTTTACACATTCATTAAAAAATCGGCTGCATATGCATGGATTTGGAGAATGAAATTGAAGAATAAAACATATTTCCTCTGTCAGCAAATTTAGCGACTTTTGTTCAAAATTAAAACGTAATTTCCGTATGTTTGAAATTGGGAAAAAATATATTAATAATTGGGGAAAAATAGCTAATTTTTGTGAGGGGAAACAGCCGAATATCGGTGGCATTTTGACCCAAAAAAAATCACTGGTATATCATTAATATTCTATGAGAGCCACTTCAGCATGTATTAAAATAGCTTGAAAATAAGAAAATCTGTTTTTCCCCCTTGTGTGAAAATCATTATGTTGAGTCATAGTTATATAGATTCTTATAATTGCACTGTAAGCAGTAAAATTGTAAAGTATTAGTTGTATCAGATACCATCAGCATTTTTTATTATTTTATGTAATATATTTTTCTGTGTGGCCATGAAAGTTTATAATACATACATTCATTAAATTTTTTTCAGAGATTTTATAATTATGCTTTGTTTTTATGCATAAATTTTAAAATAGATGTCCTAGGATATCCTATATCCTAGGACATCCTAGGAATTCCTGGTTTCCTGGGACAATTTTAAGTCTTGGGATATCCTGGGGAGTCTTGGCTTTTTGATTCCTGGGGTTTTTGTAGAACCCTTTTATTGGGACTGTCCAAGGAAATCCCAGGAATTCCTGTTCCAAAAACATCCCAGGATATCTTAGGAACAATCCTGGGATTTTTTCAAGATATCCTAGGAATAAATCTTGAGATTATCTTAGGATTTCTTAGGATATCTCAGGATAATTCTGCAAGGGTTAAAATAGATGTATAACAGGAGCATTAGAAATTAAATTGCTATTCGATATGATATTTATATATGGGTTTTGTTCGATCTATCTTCATATTTTAATTAATGCTTTATAACCCCCCTAGCCCCCACACACACCTGCAATTTCAAAAAAGTTTTTTTCTATGTGAATGTGAATTAATTTTATATCTATATAGACTATAGCTAAAACTAAGTAATCTAAAAAAAAAATCCGTTTTCATTACCTTGCTTAAAGTTGCAAACTGATGAATTTGTGATTAATTAGTAGCATATCAAGTTCGAAGTAAAATTTAGCATTGAATTTTAAGCATTAAAATGTTTTATATGATATTTTTTTGTAATTTGAATTAAAACATATTTTCTTTGTTTTCATTTTGTAAAGAAAGAAAAAAACAATGATCTTTACAAAATGAGACAATGCTGATTTTCAATGTTAGATATGCTAGTATGTTTATTGATTGATACATACAACAATGCTGATACGCTGATTCTGGAAATCCTTTTTGAAATAAAAATTAGTTCCAAACACTGTACTTGTTACTCTAGGGAAGATCTTCACTTAAAGTTGACACCAGAGTAGCTACAGTTATCTTTCAGTATAGTTATTCTTGTACAATGTATATGAAATGCATGTATTGACGTCATATTTTCAAGGAGGAAATTTAATTACATTTGAGTAACAATAATTTAGTTAACTAGTTCATTCCTCATCAAAAATCATGTGTGATTAAATGAAGGTCATTTTATAGAGAAAACTACGATGCAGCTCTACACAACAAAACAGACCACAATGAAAATCGGGATGTCTACAGAAAACAGAATTTTGGTTCCCACGTCTATCATCACAGGAAAAGAGGGATTAAATAGAAAAGGTGAAAATATCACACAAACTTCACTCAGGCACTTCACATATTTGTAGTACTTAGACCTAATTGAGGATGGGTATTTTTGTTTGTCTCTTTTCTAATTAAAAAAAATAGTTTATGAAATTCAATGAAGGGTTTGTTGTAACTGCGACATCACAATCTTTTATGGACCTCTGATGTTTTGGGTTGTTTTACAACTTTTAATGGACTTTTGCGAGAAGCGCTGATTTTTACAATCGACGGCTTACTTTTACACTAGGACAATATATGGAGGCTCTTTTGCTCTATAAACATTAAGCTTAAAAATTAATGAACGATAACAATGGGCCATTTCAAAGTATATATTACGTTGTCTAGGAAGGGAACGGCGATCATCCTATCCTCAATCCCCTCCCTTCCCACATTGACCAACTCTTGTTTAGTTTTCCTTCTGGAATGTTTTTTCTTCCTTATTTGATTCCTTCAGAAAATGAGATTGAAAGGAGGTGCTAACTCCCACGAATAAGGTAATTTAAGCTATGTAATTCTGCCTCCCATCATCTCTTGCATTGATTGCATACCAGTTAATTATGTTAGTGCCCAAAACAAAATATTTATAACCACTATTAAGTTTTTCTTATCTATTATCAATTCCGTTCCTCCGTACATAAGACAGGTTTGAATGTCAAAGTAAGCCGTCTACTGTAAAAGTCAATGCTTCTCGCAAAAGTCCAATAGTATTAAAGGGACCTGGACAAAGTTGCACTGTTTACAATGTCTTTTTCTATTCAAAAGATAACTTCAGTTTAATGATTTGAACTTGCATGAATATTCTAAGAATTCAATGACAATGACATTCTTCAGAACATCACGTCAAACATCTGTGTTTGTAAACAGGGCACGAGCTCTGTTATTGTTAGTGTTTACGTTTTACCTGGTCTGTTCAATCTATCAAGTCTGCACACATCATAGAGCACGGACTGACAATACTGGTGAGTTGGTTTTACTTTCGTTTCTCTCTGAACTTTCTGGATTATATTCATATTTTTCATTAATACACAACACAGTTTCTACTTTTCTTAAGTATTATGGATAAAGTTTACTTTGTGAAAGTGCAAGGATATGTGTCGATCAAACGCGTCCCGAAAATTGTAGACTAATTTTTAATTATTTCCAGATAAATTAATTTTCTTAACACGCTTTTAATATATTTCGGTGTAAAATGCTTTAGCAACATATAATTGTAGAAAATATGAATTTCAAATCTGTGTCCCAGCTCCTTTAATTCGATGAGCAGGTTGACTACTCGTGTGGAATAAGCAGAAATGGGAATACATTAGATATTTATCAAAATACTTATATCTTTCGTGTGTACATATAATATTTTCTACTCTAAACAACATTGTTTTCAAACGAATACACTTTTTCTTCCAAACTCTTAAATTTTAGTAGTACTTAGCGCGTCTTTTGAAATCGGTAAAGGTATATCTATATCGGGCTATTTAGAAGCTGACAAAAAGCTCTCATCCAAGGGAGCATCTACAAGAGGCAGAAAAAGAGGTACATATATGCATACATTTACTGTCCAATGTACAGAAAAGATTGTTTCTTTAGTTATGATGTCAGTTTCAACAATCAAATGGATCTATTGAGAGCTTAACGTGTTTTACATATCCAATCAGCCTGACCAGCATATCATTTTCAAGTTAAAGTAAATGAATGTTTAATTTGTATGATTTTTAACGAGTAACAGGTTACAAGTACTCGAGTACTGGTCAAAAGGTCCGAGTATCGAATACTTAAATCAGTATTCGAGTACTTCGAAAACATAAAATCATCATGGAAAATTTCTTCATAGATATCAGTTTTTTTGTTGTTGTTTTTTGTCAAACTAAGACCACCTTTCCGTTATCTCAATTACCTAGCTTGGATTTAGGACACTGTCGTGTTTTTGACAACAATTAAAGTCATTAGCATTTCAGTCAGAGACAGAGGATTGTTTTGTATATAGCTAGAAACATGTCTTGATTGGAATTCACAGTTCAAATTAATTCAATAGAATATAGCATAGTCTCCTTATTAGTTAGTACATGTAGCAATAATCAGTCCATGCTTTTAGACTGGTAACATTTGCAGTTCAAAATCTATAAAATGTCAACTATCTGAAGCTCAATTTAATTACTTGGAAGGGACAAATATTATGAAAAATAACTAACGAATCAAGCATATTGACATTAAAGTAATACCAGAAATGCAACTGTAAAACTTTTTAAATCTTGGCATGGGAAAAATTTGACAGACACACATTATGATAATGCAAGCCGAGGCATATAGTTCACGGATAATTATGGTAAATACATTTCATGAATTTCAATATTCATGTTCATATTCATCTCGACGATTTTCATTGAAATTCATGAAATGTATTTACTTTTTATTTCATATTGTTAATCATTTCAAAGTTCTATTAAACCAAAATTGACTGTTTATCACACTCAAGTATGATATTTATTATACCCGCACTTTCTAAAGAAAGTTCGGGTATTACATGTATATTGTTGTTACTCATGTCTGTCCGTCCGTCCGTCTGTCCGTCCTTCTGTCTGTCACACTCTTCTTTCTCAAACTCCTCTTACATTTTACACAGTAGCCTAATCATCTTTTGGGAGATGTTTGGTGGTGTCATGTAGATGTGCAGTAAGGTTTCGGAATTTTCATTTTCACCCTGGGGGTCAAATGGGGGTCAAAAAATGACGTTTTTTATGCAAAAAGCCCCTGGTTCCCTGAACTCCTCTTACATTTTACACAGCAGCCTAATCATCTTTTGGGAGATGGTTGGTGGTGTCATGTAGATGTGCAGTAAGGTTTCGGAATTTTCATTTTCACCCTGGGGGTCAAATGGGGGTCGAAAAATGACGTTTTTTATGCAAAAAGCCCCTGGTTCCCTGAACTCCTCTTACATTTTACACAGCAGCCTAATCATCTTTTGGGAGATGGTTGGTGGTGTCATGTAGATGCGCAGTAAGGTTTTGGAATTTTCATTTTCACCCTGGGGTCAAATGGGTGTTGAAAAATGATGTTTTTTTATACAAAAAGACCCTGGTTTCCAGAACTCCTCCTACATTTTACACAACAGCCTAATCACCCTTTGGATTGATTATGACTGATTATTATTGTTTAACCTCGAGTCGGCAATATTTAGGCCATATTTAGGCAATCAAATTAAGTGTATATTCCCATTAATGAAGTTTTTAGTTTCTCTGGCGCCAAAATGCAAATTTAAGAAAAGTGAGGTCAAGGTCACAGGAAAGTTAAATGTCAAATATTTTTGATGCAGTTGAATAGTTTTCACAAATATTTATCAGCATATTAAGTTTGATAAAATATTGTGAATGGTTTATTTAAAACTGAGCTAAACACCAATTTAAAATAAATGAAATAAAGGTAAAAGGAAAGTTCAAGGGCAAAAAATATTGATGCAGTTGAATAGCTTACATCAGTATGTATCAGCATATGAATTTTGACACAAATTCAAGAAAAGTGGGGTCAAGGTCAGAGGAAAGGTCAAGGTCAAGAAATATTGATGCAGTTGAATAGCCTCATTAGTATGTACATGTATCAGTATATGAAGTTTCATTAAAATATCTTAAATGATTTCACTAAAACTGAGCTAAACACTAATTTAAGAAAAGTGAGGTCAAGGTCAAAGGAAAGGTCAAGGTCAAAAAATGTTGATTCAGTTGAATAGCTTACATCAGTATGCATCAACATATGAAGTTTGATTGCACTTTCTTGAATGGTATCTTTAAAACTGAGCTAAACACTAATTTAAGAAAAGTGAGGTCAAGGTCAAAGGAAAGGTCAATGTCAAAAAATATTGATGCAGTTGAATAGCTCTCATCAGTATGTATCAACATTAGAAGTTTGATAAAAATATCTTTGATAGTTTCTTTGAAACTGAGCTTTGAACAGAGCTAAATGCAAAGCGTGATGGAAAGACGGACGGAAGGATGAAAGGACGGAAGATGGACATGACAAACACTATATGCACCGGCCATATTCATGGCTGGGCATAAAAACAAGGTAAAAAATTTTGTTTGCATGCACCCTTTCTCCATACCACCTCTGCATGTTCCAAGATTGAAGTTTTAATGTCAAAAGGTTCTTAAGTTATGGTTTGGAGGTGTTTTCTCAATTTGACCTTGAATGAAGAAAGGAGTGAAGGTCAACATTTTAGTGCAGTGCGTCTTTTGTAAATGTCTTTTTTCTATGTTACAAATTTGAAATCCTAATGTCAAAGGGTTCTCAGGTTATAGCCTAGACTATATTTTTATGTTAAGATTGACCTTGACCTTATCGAAAGGTCAAGGTAAAAAGAGTTTGGTGGCCTCAACCCTAATTCCATACCATCTCTCCATGTTTCATGTTTGAAGTCTTAATGTCAAAGGGTTGTCAAGTTAAGGCTTGGACAAAATTTGATTGAAGAAGAAAACTGACAAAAACAATATGTAGACTAGTATAGTCTACTCGTTGCACCATTTTACCTGTAGGAGGAGTAGTTTTGAAAGAACAAATTTGTTTCTACATTATGTAATGAAACTTTCACATAAGATTCAACTTTTCTTGCCTAGTGGTTCTTGAGAAGGAATTTTTTTCTTATACAGTAAAGCATACTTATAGCCAAACAAGCCTATAATGAATTGACACTTACAGAAAAGCGATTTTCATTCCCCGTGACTTTAAAATATATTGTAAACTTAATGGATATAAGCAATTACACTTATAACAAAGCAAAATCATCCATCCCAGGCACTTTGTTATAAGCGTGTTTTACTGTACATTCCCATGTTCACAAAACTTTGATCCCCTAATGTGGCCGCACCCTACCCCTGAAGGTCATGATTTGAATCTACACTAAGTAATGGAGTTTCACATAATTTTAAACTTTTCTGGCTAAGTGGTTCTTCAGAAGAAGATTTTTGAAATAACAATAAATTTTCACTCATTCTTATCTCCCCTTAAAAGAAGGTTTGGCCCCTCCTTAAAAAAAGGTTTGGCCCTTCATTTGAACAAT